TCTCTCTCTTCCCCCCCCCCTCTCTCATTTGTTGTCTCTTCCTTTTGGACCCTATTGAAGCCTCACGCGTTGTGAAGAACTATAACTGATTCTAGAGCGCCAATAGCTTAATGGTTTGGAAACAGACTATCGATTTAGTGGTCGAGGGTTCGTGGTTGAAGAAAATAGGCAATGGTTAAAGAAAATATTGAGATTTATAAGGCTATTTAGTTAATTTTAACGAAAAATCTTTTATCACGAAATATTTTAGCATGAATTAGACACTGGATGAATTAATTCCGTAGTCTCATGTTGGGAACCTATAAAGATATGTAATTATTGACTTGCAGAGGTCTGACGCCGCTGAACGCGCCGCTGTCGTCCCCGCTGACGTCGCGCCGCGCGCCGCCCGACAGCCCGCGCGCGCTGCGCCGCCAGCACAGCCTCGCCAAGCCCGCCTCCTTGTGAGTACACACCCTACCACATTCTACCACATCCTACCAAACCCTACCATATCCTAGTATCCTGCAAAGTAACATTTCAAAGCCCATGAGAAAAGGAAAAAATTTACTTGCTGCTGGGTAGGAAAGCACATTCCAGTAACTTACATACTTGCATGCAAGGTACAAACACGTGCCAGTACCTGGCATGCAATAGTGAAAGTTGTAGTGCTAGTGGAGGGAGAAATGGAGGGGAGATCCGTATCACCTCGGACCCTCCCACAACTTCGTCTCGTAAGGTCTCGTGAACTGGCATGCAAGGTAATGCCATTTTACTGGCCTATGAATACGTATTGCGACAGTAACCATCTCATACCAGTAATTGGCATGCGAGGTACTACTCAATATTTCTGGAATGTGTAATCCCGCCCTGAATTAAAGTGATCAAACAAGTTTGGTTATAAATTGACTTTACAAAATTAACTCTTATAAAATTTTCAAATGTTACGCATTTTAGTTGTAGAAATATGGCACTTATTCCTTTAGCAGTAAGTAGCATATTGCAAGTCCCGGCACTCGCCGCCTCGCTACCGCTCTCTGCATGACAGCTTGGGTATACGTAGCTAGTGTTAAGACAATATAAATTGTATTGTAGAGTTCTAAAAAGCCTTTAAAGCAAAAAAAACTGTCTTATAAAAAATAACTATTACTGTAACAAACATATTTTTTTCATAGAAAATAAAACAAAATCAAAAATTATTTTAAAATCCATAGAATTTTATATTGTCTTAATTCCTTTGGTAGTTAGAAAATTATATTTGGGCTCGGATTTAGTAGTGAAAGAAATTTTTCAAATAGTTGACAGTCATGTGTGCATGGCTTGCATGAATTCAAAATTAAAATATTATAACAAACAAAGTAAGAAACTAGGAAGAGAGTAGCAATTTATTGAAAAGTTTTAAAATATCCGTAAACGAACAAATCATTTAACTATCAAAGAAACCATTACAGGGTTCGAAAACGTACAAAGACCGCAAATTATTTCTCCGTTGTATTTTGAATCTGTCCTTTGTGTCTACCGTGACTTTCAAAGTCGAAACACGAAACTATATAGTTATCTCATTTTTTATCTATGGGAATGAAAGAGATGACATGTTTGAAGTAACCAATAGTAACGCTAATGCACACATGACTAGAGGTAATGCGTTAGCGGGGAGTGCGGGGAGTGTGGGGAGCGCGGGGTCTCACTGGGGTGTTGCTTACAGCCTCCTCACCGACCTCAACATTGTCGAGGACTGAAGCAGAGCAGATCACACGCACGGAATCAATTGTGCACGCTATTATCTACCTTATTGCAAAGTGTTAAGAGTTATATTAGTTTAGCTAAAGCAAAACAACGTAAATATCAGACCACTTATTCTAGTTTTAATGTTATTTATTATGTTTTGGTCTTTTTGTATGTATTTAGTTAAATTAAACAAGCTTGTGATATCATAATCTCACAAAATTTACTTATATAGTCCTTATATCTAGTTATTTTTGTATAAAGACACCTTTTTTGAAAACGCCCAATGTCAAAGGTTTTATTTCTTAAAATAATTTTGCACTTATGTCTACTAACTTAAGTGAATGGTTTTTTTTGTTCTGTAATAACTTCAAAATAGCCTTTTATAGAATTAAATAAGTCTTATATGTAGCATGTATACAAATATGTCAATTTCTAAGATATTTATAGTTGTAAATAAATTTTAAGTAATTAGTAATTGGTAAATGAAATGTAAATAATAGACAGGCTTTATGATCTAAAAAATATTCTTTATTTTAACAATTTACTATTTATTAGCATAAATAACTTTCCTAGTTAAGTATTCTAATTACAAATCAATGTGAAAACGTCACAAATATTTTAAATATAATGTTTTTAACCTGATTTTTTTTTAATTATTAAAATTTCAATAAAGTTTTGCACTGAAAGTACTGCTTGTTATCGCACGAGAGTTGTTGCATGAGGTTCTAGAAATTTCGTTTACTATTTTTAACATAGTTATATGTATAGTAAAAGATAAATTAAAGCTTATGTTCCATTCTGTAGCAGATATGTTGCTATATGAGGAATTATTACGTAAAAGTTGATGTGATGTTTTTTTACGTGACATAAGGGTAAGTTTTTTTTTAGTTTCATCATCTAAACCATGTCGTGTTTATTCATTGGTTACGTTTTGTGGTTGTTTGTGATGTTAAAAATATCGTTTTTGCTTTGGTTTTGTCGTATCCGAGTTAACAACATACATTTGTTACAAAAAAATCGACATAAAACATACATTCACGTAACATTCATACTTCACAATACATTTTTAAACTCCCATTAATCGTTTATATATTTTTTTGAGAATCTGGCTAAATGTCTTTTGCCAACCGCTACATAATATTTTTAATACACATTTACTAGCTTACTACAGTTTGTAAGATTATGATATCACGTTTATCGATGTATCAAAGTATATAAATAATTGTAATATTTGTGATAATAGTATAAAAGTAAAACAAAGGCTGGATGCAAAAAATTACCAGTAGCATAGATGCATAATAAATTCAGATCAGGCCAGCCTCGTCATGCAGCATCCAAAATAAATCTTGGCCACTGGAATACATTTGTGTGCGAATGTTACACCACATCCTTCTCTATTTCCAGATGTGCCGTGGTTAATCCCAACCCCGCCAGTTACAATTTTGTGGCAATCTTTGTTTTCGTGCTATTGTTTTATTTAATATATCATTTACATTATTTTTTTACTGATTACTTTCTCATATTGCGAGCATCAAACTCCTGAGACGTTTGCACGCATTCACCGTTAATACTTTCAGGCCAAAAACGCTTTATTTAATTTTAATTTACATATTACTTTTACATACGAACATTAAAACACATAACGTACATCGGAATGTGTCATTCATTGTTCTAACCTGGTGTGAATCGTGCCGCTTATCTAACGCCTGCGCCCGTGCGACTAACGCAGGGAGACGAGCGCGGGCCCGGGCGCGCCCGCCA